TGTAAAAGGCAACCTTTTTTTAAAACCCCCTAAAATTTGTGCCTTCAAAGGAAAACAAAAACCCCCTTAAAAAAAAAAAAAAAAAAAAAAAATCTCTCCTTCTAAACTTGGATTCTTACAATTCATTCTCCCTGCTTATGTTATTATGGAAATAATCTACTGCCAGTCATCACAATGTCCTGTCAAGTGTTTGCAAGGAGGAGAAACCAGTCGGGTGAGGTTTGTCTTTTCTTATTAACAAGGAATGGAGAGAAACAAATTAGATGTAGCATTTGGTTAAAGGTTCAGCTGGGACACAGATTAAGTCTGACAGTAAATGGAAGCCACATTCAGGGCCTGTGTTTTTGCTTCATTCACCCATTTCCCAAAGTAAGGAGGGACAATTGGTTTATACCATAGAGGTTGATGTATATACCAGAAAAGGTACCAACTACTAAATAAACATCTGTCAAGACTGGTTGATGGAATCTTGACAAGCTCAGTTCTTCAACTACAAACACCACTGTTGTGACATGGGTTTCACTCCTGTAAAAAAGGAGTGGATACAATTAGACAACCATGACTTTCTTACCTCTTCGTAATCCTGCATTATGTCGTGCTGGTCCATGACACCTCCCACCTCCAAAACAAACCGAAAGAATAAAATAATTTAAATGTGTGGTAGTAAGCAAATGTTCAACAGGTTTTTTATCACAGAGCACACTATTTGCAGGAGATATATTTTTCAATAAACCTCTAAAATGTTTTTTGAGTCAATAAAAAAAAAATAAAACTGCTATTGGAAATATATTTTTTTCTTGCCCTATTGAAAGCTAGGTTTTAAAATGGGGGTGCCACAATTGTTAAGTTTTTCTGTGCTGTGGGTGTGATTTCCATGAGTTTCTCTTAATGAGCTTGAGTGTACAGCTAAAAATGGTCAGCTTGACGCTCAGAGGGGAGGAAACCATAGTGGAGACACAGCCAGTGGGTGTGGGGCACAAACACAGCTGTGTTTAGTCGCACTTTCACGCAGGACGTCCCTGTGTCCATGAGGAGGACCGTTATCCTCCCTTTCTCCTCCCTCCTCTTACCCTCTGCTACGGAAACGCAAGTGGCTGCCGCGGCAATTAGTGAACCCCGCCTGCTGGGCTCTAATTTCTCTGAATTGTGCTCCTTATATACAACCCCCCTCCGCAGCTGAAGAAACTTGTCTCCAGTGGCTGCAGGTCTGCTCGTCCAGAAAACGCCCTATTATACTTGTTCAATTATTCTAACCTCGCGAGAGCTTAGAGTTAGACCCCTCCGGGGCTGGTTTTGACGGGCAGGGAATTAGGAGCTCAGTCGGTCACACTGACCGGTAACAAGCCCGGCGACAGCCATGGATCCCTTCAGGTTCTGTTTGATGTTATCACTCTACATGAAGTTTGGAAGTTCTGTCTTCTCAAGTAATGCGCCTCAAGCTCCTGCGCCTATTCCTAATGGTAAGACATCATCTTTTTTTTTTTTTTGCGCCTATTCTAATTTTAAAGTAAGCTAATGTGTGAATACCGCTAACTATGTGAAGGGAACTAATGGGCTTATGCCTAAGATTTATACCACGAAAATGATGTCACTGCAGCCTATATGAATGTGCAGGGTGCATTCACGTGTGGGAATGTCATCGTGTTTGGAGCAAACATATGTGTACAGCGTGAAATTGATTGTGCGGTTTCTCGCAGTCTTGTCTTGTTTTATGTTATTTGGCGCAGCTTTTATGTTACATACGAGAGGCAGTAAAAGTTTTAGTGCCAGAAGCGCTAATTGGTGAGGAGAGTCTTTGAAGTTTTTCTGTAAATACCGCAGCGAGGGTAGATAGTAGACATGATATAGGCTACCAAACCGTAGAAAAAAAAAAAAAAAAAAAAAAAAAAACGTTTATAACTCCTTTAAATTGTAATTGAGAAACAGAGATGTGCTTGTAAGTTTGTTTATGGGCTACTGAGAAAATCATTTCCTCCCTGAACGTATAGGCTGTTGAACCACTATGTCTAACTTTTATTGACCTAGATATCCCTTCCATGTTGGCAAATTGCTTCTGGCGGATTGTACCAAATTACCCTCAAATCCAGACAGACATTCACACAGAGGTCTTGTAAAATATGTGGATGTTTAAATGTTTGTTTAGTCTGGAAATCTGAAGAGTAATTGCTATATAGGCCTGTAAAAAAATCACTGGAAGAAACGCACCACTAGAAACAAAAACAATAACTTTTATCATACTTTTAGTCTGTTTTAGAATAATGAGTTTGCTTTTTATTGAGCAATCTAAGTTTAAATGTAAAACAATGTACCAAAATCTGTGTTTCCACTTCTGGTCTCAGATTGTGTAGAACCCTGACCAGAATTTGATAAGGTGCCTGGATCAACCTCAAGCCACCACTGATATTTCTTTTAAATTGTTTGAGTCTGAGTGCTGTGTTGTGCTATGTTTATAATCTCTAAATAAATGTTTTACTACTGAGCTTACAACTAAATTAGGGGCTAGTTTGTATTATTTTTTAGATGAGTTTGTGTGAATATATATCAGGAGTAGTTCCTTATCTTTGATACACATAGATAAGAAACCGTCTATGTGAACTAGGACAATATTGAGTAAATAAAAGAAGTGCTGGAAGCCTTTGAAGTCTAACGTGTTGTCAGATGGTTGCACCATTTCTGCAGTTTTTAGCTATTTAAAATGACTGAAACCTAAAGTGATCATATTCTTTGCATTCAAAGCAGCATTAATGGAGATTAAATATTTACACTTTCTTAAAAGACAGCAGTTATTAAAATGAAAATTACATTGGCTTAGCCTGCTGGTTGTATCAGTGCACAAGGGTAATTTCTGTGAAAAGTCAAGCACTAGTACCCCATCCCCCTTAGCTGGTCTGCTTGTTGCTGCTCATTTCTCTTATGCCTTGGACTGGCACTGTGCAGTACAGTGGGCTGAGGAAATGACCTTTGTGAACTCACTTGCAGGACACCCAGGAGACTGTGGTTTAAATCCCCAGGGCACTTTCAACACATGTTTGGTTTACACTTGGAATTTTTTTTAAAGTTTATGAAAGAGAACAAATTTCTTGGTTTACAGGACTCTATAGGATCCTAACTGTAAGATAAACACTTCACTGTAGCTTCCACACACAACTGACAAAAACTAATCTTGAACTGATTAAGATTTACCATTTTTAGGAAATGTTTTGTGAGTGGAACCTAATGTGAAACTAATCATATTGGACAAGCTTCCTGCAGCAATAGTTGAGTCAGAAATGAAAAAAAAAAAAAAAAGGAATAGGCTTATTTCACAGGAAAGGTGTGAGTTTTCATTGTGAGAATCTAAACCTCACTACATTCTCACAGCTTTCCCCATCTATTTCCTGAGAGCACCCTTCCGCGGCCAGAGCTCAGATACAGACAGTGATTCAACAGTGAAAGGGAGCAGTGGAAGAAGCAGGAATGCAGAGCTCTCCATTTCTCACTAGCTTGCATCTGGCCAGTCACTGGGAACAGTGGACATTGCTGTTGGTGTGGTCAGTTTTGGAAAGTTACAAAAATTGGGCCATGCAGACAGCCGCTGTCCAGCCACCTGAAAGGACCCTTTCACTTATGTTTGACTGTTTGAACAGCAATTCTAACAAAGTAGTGAATTTAAGATGTAGGTCTTGGTGAAAGTTAGAAACTCTGCAAAGTTTTGTGCCTTGCTCTGATACTAGAATACTTTGTATTTTAGAATCAGAGCAAATGTTTTAGTATTTTTTTAGGGTATTTAGAGAGATGCATCTTAAATTTGATAGTTTGGTCATGTGTTTTCTGAGTCCTTGATTTGTTCTGACCTTTTAATTTGTTTTTTGCATATCAACAGACTATTCCCATTTCTTAACACCCTTCCTCATTATGCATACAAAATACTCATGAGCTGATTATTTCTTATCGAATGTGTGTAATCTGGATGTTTTTGAAGGAGTAATATCCTAGCTCATGAGTGTAAAAATTTAAATTATGATCTGTTTTAATTTTTTGTGCAAAAAGAAAAAAAACGTAATCAAAAAGTCACTTTCTCCATTCCATAATGGAATGGAGAAATTGGTAGATTTACTGTACATAAAAATAGCTTTACAGAGTGGAACGTAATAAAACATGAGCACGTCACTGCCACTGTCACATGACCAAACGCATACCACATGACAACCCTCCAACAGAAACTAGTGGAAGCAAGATGGAAATAAACATTGATTGTTAATATCAACCCGGTTTTATGTATTGGACCAATATGGATATTTTAAAATATGACTAATATCGACATTAGTGCCAGTATATTCTACATCCCATCAGAAAAGTACTCAAGAAAACAAAATAGAAGACAAAGTTTAAAAACTTATAAGATACTTGAAGAATAAAAAAAGCACTTAAAAATACACAACTTGTTCAAGTGTTATGCAATACAATCACAGTTAATACAAACAAAAATATAATTAAAAACAAAAAAAAGAGGTAGATGTCGAGCTAGCCCAAGAGACCCAAATGGTAACATTTATTTTGAAACACTTAAGGAATACTTAGGTGAGGCTTGGTAAACGCCATCATTCATTATCTAGTAAAGTGCCTCTCTTCTACACCGTAAAAGCGTCTCTAGATTATACCTTACCCAGACATCTCTGACGTGACAGCAAGGAGAACTTTATAGAAAAGCAAAGGAAACTCCACCTAAGGTTGTCCATGCCATTCTGTGAAACACCACTCTCTATTGCCTATAATGCCAGTCTAACAAACTAACAAACCCTGCTGGCAGGCATGGTCTATAATCATCCCGTAAGACATTGTCACTGTATCACCACAAGGTTGGGTCCATGCCTTCTTTCAGCCAAACATGTGTTGAGCTGTTTGTTTTTAACTTAGAGTGTCTGAGGTAAAGCACTGTAAAAACTACTGAGTTACACATAACATCTTCAAATGTACTTCAAAGACAGACTTTTATGGATTTTTTGTTGTTGCTGTTTTCTTGAGGAAAGATCTGTATTTTTTCCTGAAGAAGTCTTTAGGTTATTGCTGGGCATTGACTGTTTTTTCACTCATTTACATTTCATTCAATCCAATCAATGCCAATAAAATAGTAAATATTCGATATAATAGAATATAATGCCAGTTATGCCATCTTGTTTTTTTGCAATGCAGTTCGGTTAGCCTGACAAACTGAAATGTTTTAGCTAGTCTCAGTCTCAGTATCAAGCTTAAATTAGGGCTATGTTATTGTGAGACATGCCAATTCTTGTTGGAATTGCAAACATTTACTTTAGACTGCTGATACCTTAAATAAATATTCACGATTATTAGGATTTATGCTCTTTGAAGGTTTTATTAGTAATAGTTCAGTTGCCTGTAGTCGAAAGATGTCATGCCATAGTGAGTTTCTAGAAAAGTGAAGAAATCCTGAGAGTAATCGAAGGCCTATGTGAAACAGTAATTGCGTCCTAAACCTAACCACTGGTTGTTTCAGCCTTGGTGGCAACATCTGCCATCAACCATAACGCATAGCTTACAAAAGTGGCAATGCCAATAGTTTTTGCAGAATTGTTACATCTTAGTCAAGAATTAATCGCATGTTGAGGGTCAGCCTGCGGCTTGGCAACAAAACCTTCATTTTGTTTGTTAAGCTATTTAGAGGTTTGTATTTTGGAGTGCAATGTATTTTTCACCTGCTGTATAACCCAAAAGCCTTTGAGGAAGGAATTCATGTCCAAATCATGAAACAGCTGCAACCATATTTGACTACATGTGTAATGCTCATTTTCTTAAATGCTATATTAATTTTAAGTTAGATGTAGTCTCATTGACTGCACCTTCCAAAAAGTTAGTCTTTTGTTCAACAGTCTGCAGAGTATTTTCTCAAAGGTTTTGGTGTCCGTCACGATCATTGTGGGCATAGTAAGACAGACAGGCATTTGTGTTATTTTTGGTCATCAGTTGTTTTTTTCAGGATTTTATCATTGATGCTATTTTTGCTGTTCTATTTCCTATTTTCAAATAATTACTGCTATATTTAACTGAGCCAAGAGAAGTCAATAAATCTTTAGATTGAATTTAGTTTGGGGTTCTTTTATGACCTCCTGGATGACTTGTAGGTACACTGCTATGTCATTTTCATTGGCCACTTTTTGAAAGGTTTGTCCTTGTTCCATGTTTTCTCCATTTGTAGATAAGAATAGCTCACAGTGTGGCCTACCAGAGTTGCCAATCTTTAAAATATTTAGTTTTACTCTCAGACTGATAGACGTCAGTGGCTTTGATTCTGATCTGTTCTCAAGGTTTTCCTTTTTCTTTTTACATTGGGTTATGGTGTGCTACTTTTCAATATCTCTATTGCTGTCAGGGAGTTGTTTAAAGGGATTTTTTTTAATTCTACAGCTTAGGCAGTAATCAGGTCTGTGTGTGTCATTTGAAATAGAACAAAAAACAAAAATTG